AGCAGTAGGCGACCTCAGGCAGAAATGGGTTAAGAGAACCTTTAGCAAACCAGGAATAGAAAGGACCTTCCTTAATTTGATCAAAGGTATCTATAAGAAATCTACAACAAGCTGCCCATTCAAGGGTGGAAAGCGGAGAGCTGCCCCCACCACCCCCCGCCACTCCCTGAGATGTAACAGACAAAGATGGCTGCCTCTCACCACAACGCGCTAGCACACCAAGGCAAAAAAAGAGGCTTAAAAGGGCCGGGTGCGGTGGCTCATGCCTGTAATCCCAGCACTTCAGGAAGCTGAGGCAGGTGGATCACCTGAGGTTGGGAGTTCAAGACCAGCCTGAGCAACATGGAGAAATCCCGTCTCTACTAAAAACACAAAATTAGCCGGGCGTGGTAGCACATGCCTGTAATCCCAGCTACTCAGGAGGCTGAGGCAGGAGAATCACTTGAATCTGGGAGGTGGAGGTTGCAATCAGCCGAGATCATGCCACTGCACTCCAGCCTGGGTGACAGAGTGAGACTCTGTCTCCAAAAAAAAAAAAAAAAGGCTTAAAAGGCTTTAAAATGAGAAACGAAGCTGTCAGTATTTACAGGTGATATGGTTATATGTGAAGAAAATCCAAAGGAACTCACAAGCAAACCGTGAATAAGTGAATTTACAAGATTCCTGCCCACAAGGCCAACATACAAAAAACTAATTATATTTCTAAATTCCAGAAACAAACAGTAATAATCACTTACAAATGTTGTTATAGACACTAAGAAATTTAAACTATGTAGAAACAAATCTTAACAAAAGATGTCTGGGACAGAAAGCTATAAAATATTAGGAAAGTGAAGAAAACCTAAAAAACAAACAAACAAAAAAACTGGAGGTGGCATGTAGCCTGTTGGTGAATGCAAGCCTCAATATCATAAAGATGATCATTTTTCTCTAAATGGTACATTCACTGCAATTTCAGTGAAAATCCAAGCAGAGATTTTTGTGGAAATTGCCATGTTTATAATAGAATGATTTATATTCCTTTGGGTATATACCCAGTAATGGGATTGGTGGATCAAATAGTATTTCTGGTTCTAGATCTTTGAGGAACTGACACGTGTCTTCCACAATGGCTGAACTAATTTACGTGCACGTGTATGTCTATTGCAGCACTATTCACAATAGCAAAGGCATGGAACCAACCGAAATGCCCATCAGTGAGAGACTGGATAAAGAAAATGTGGCCGAGGCGGGCGGATCACTTGAGGTCAGGAGTTTGAGACCATCCTGGCCAATATGGCAAAATACCGTCCCTACTAAAAATACAAAAATTAGCAAAGCATGTGGTGCGTGCCTGTAATCCCAGCTACTTGGGAGGCTGAGGCAGGAGAATCACTTGAATCTGGGAGGTGGAGGTTGCAATCAGCCGAGATCATGCCACTGCACTCCAGCCTGGGTGACAGAGTGAGACTCTGTCTCCAAAAAAAAAAAAAAAAGGGGGAATTCTAGAAAATAAAAAAGGGAATTCCCTTGACTCAATCAAGAGATTCCACAGAAGCCTTGCGGCCACAGCACGCGTCCCCAACGTCGGGAGCGGGGCTGGGTGCCGTTCTCACAGCTTCTGTTCAGCTGTGTGGAGGTCTTGGGAGCAGAGAAAGAAAAGGAAACAAGCCAGAGGCACACTGTGGAAACGAAAAGACAAAACTCGCTATTCGCAGGTGATGTCACTGTGTTCTAGACAACTCCAAACAATTCCCAAAGATAACCTAAAATATTTCCCAGGGATAAATATCAGAACTATTAAGAGACGTCAGCACGTTTTTGGGGATCAAAGTCAATATACGAGGTGTCATTGCGTTTCTGTCATCAGCGGTCACGCGAAAAGGAAACTTTAAAAAGCCACCGTTCAAAAAGCTTTTAAGACATAGAAATGTCAAGAAATAACTCGTTAAAGATTCGAAAGGTGTTTATGGGAAAAAAAATCGTAAAACTTTACTGAAAGAGGTTAAAGAAGACCTAAATTAAGGGAGCCCCGTCCCGCATCTGTGGACTGCAGAGCACATTGCGCTGACCCCTGCCCCGCCGTCTCCCCTGTAGCTGGCTCCCCTGGCCCCTCCTTCAGCAGGGCCAGGGGCCCAGACCCACGGCTCCCCTCTGCATGGACACACCCTCACCCCTTCGCACCTCCGAGGACTCATCTAGACAAAGCCCCAAACTGAGATGATATGAACCTTCGCCTGCCCTGGACCTGAGATGTGGAGAAGCAGCACACACCTGGTTGCATTTTTGCTGTGAAACCACAGGCTTCCAGGTGACCTCTTCATTCCGCCTGGCGGCCCCACTTCCCTTCCCTTTGCCTTGAACCTGTGCATCACCTCCCCACCTCCACTCCGCTGGGGGACGCCTCCCTGTCCAGCAGCCAGAGCAATCAAAAGAAACCCCACAGGCACCTCAGCCACATCCACTTACCCACCGCCCCATGCTCGCCTCCCTCTGCTCCCCCACGTGGACGGGTGTCTGCCTGGCTCCCCCAGCAGCTGGGCTGCGGGAAGATGGGCGAGAGCGAGCTCTCTGGGTGCTTGGCGGCAGGTGGCCATGGAAAGTGGGTCAGCTCGGCTGGTGGGAACAGCAGGAGGGTGTAGACATCGGCCTGGCACTGGGCAGGGGTGCCTCTCAGCAGAATGGCATGGGGGCTGTGACAAGCTCCCCTCCGTCTCTGGTCCTGGAGTCAGACTAGACCTTGGCTGCATCCGACTCGAAGGCTCGCCATGGATGACGGATTGCCCAGCCCATCTTCCCTGGGGGGTTTGATCTGAGACCATCGGGATCCAGCAGCCGTGAGTGTGATGGCCAAACCGATACCAGTCACCCAGTGGGGAAGCGACATCACACGTTTAAAGAACACCAGGCATTTCTACACACAGTGTGGGGAGGAAATCCGTCCTGATTTTGAACTTTGGCACAGCGTTGAAACCGAGGGTAGCAAACTCTGTGTAAGGAGAGGGCTCTTTTCTATAAGTGGCCCTCCATAGCCGGAGTCCCGGTCCCGGGAGATGCATGTCACGTGTGTGGCCTTGTGATAGAGCCGCTGGGGTTCTCTGTCCACTTCCAGGTCACCCCTGTGTTGCTGGGTGGGCTCCTGTGCCCCCACCCCAGGCCCTGCAGGCTGGCTTCCCAGTGGACTCGGCTGTGGGAGGTCCTGGCAGGGTGGGCGCTCCTTCCCTGCTCCCCCACAGCCCCCTGACCACAGCCCCATCCCTGGCTCCAGCGTCCTTAGGATCTTTGCCCCTCAAGCCCCGAACCTGGCTGCTCTCGGGCTGTACAGAAACCTGTTTCCTGCAGGGACATACATTTAAAGTCCGTTAAAGCCTCAGACCCCCTGGGCACACCTGCCTAGCCGTGTTGTGGACAAACAAGGGGCTGACGAAATGCCTGTGGAGGCTGATTTCACTGGAGTCAGGGGAAGTCTAAGCAAACAGCAGGGGCAGGGATGAAAATAACAAAACAGTGCCCCAGATAGCAACCATGTGCCGGGGAGGCTGGGCCAAGCATTTATAGAAACTGCCCAAAGAACACCACAGGGCGGGCATTTCGGTCCATTTTACAGACCAGGAAAACCGGCGGAGAGGCCGAGTGACTGCCTGAGGCCACACGCAGCTCTCCCGCCCTGTTCGCTTACGCACATTGTTGGCCGTGCAGTGAAGGGAGTTCCCAGCAGTGTCCCCGCCCGCTCTCATCCCATTGCCCAGCTGAGCCCCTCCCTTGGCTCTCCCACCCGTGGGCCTGATAGCCGCAGCTGGGATCCACGGGACACTGCAGTCCCCCAGGCCTCGGGTCTGTGCCTCCTTAGTCACCTGTGAAGTGCCTCCTATGCGCCAGCTCTGCCCGTCCAGGGAGAAGCAGCATAGCCTGGCCACCCGAGACCTCCTGTGCGCTTCCCCGCCTGAGGTCCGTAATCAGAACTGCGGGCTTCTCCCCAGAGGTCAGGGCAGCAACAGGACAGCCTCAGCCTCTTTAGATGCTGCCTTCAGGGAGCAGTGAAAGGAGGGAGAGAGACAAGAGAGCACCCGGCCGCGTCTCCCAGCCACGCCAGGCAGGTGGGCGGCATTGATATACTGGGTACCGCTCTGGCTGTCACCCGGGCCTGGTGGTCTCCTGGAGTCACAAGCAGCCGTCTGAGATGAGGTTTATCATTTTGAGCTAGAATAGGACTGAACCTCGTTCCTGAGGGGCTGGCCGGGCCGGCTTTCCCTGCCCGCTGGCGTCTCCGCTGCCTCTGCTGTCCTGAAGATCTTATGAGGGTTCACGCTACTAGAACGCCAACATGGGTTCTCCTCTGGGCTCTGGCCCCAAGGCACCCCAACCTCAGACATATCACCCCCTGGGCCTACTACAAATGGAGCTCGCAGTTATGATGGGAAAATCTCTACCCCATCATTCATTTGGGCTATAGAAGAAAAAAATTATTTTCAGCTACAGCTTCATTTTTGGAATCTTGGCAAAAATGTTAACAGCAGAGGGAGAAGGAGGCTGGGCACCCTGCCGTGAGGCTGGTTCTTGTGGTCCTGGGCACCATCCGGTCACTTTAAAGAAGCAGGTGTCCCCGATGGTACACGCGTGCCTTGTCAGGGTGCACTGTCGGCCGCCTGCTCGGAGTTGGGACACACGTGAGGGCTATGGGGACCTGGGCGGGGCTGGCCAAGTGACTCCGCCGTGGTCCAGTGTGGTCTCTTCGCTTGCTGGACGGCGGCTCAGCCTGGCAGGTTTCACAGGTATCGACAGGTCTGCGTCCAGTGCTGCCCCACACAGATGGCCCCTCCCCAGGTCCCGCATCAGCCAACGAGAGGTTCCTGCCCCCACCTCTGGTGACCCCAGCTCCGGTCGCTTCTGCCCAAAGGCAAATGAGCTTTTCCTAAAGTCCAAACCCAGTGGTCCCCACAAATCCGAGCAAAGCTGGAAATCCTTGTTCGTTCTGTGGTGGGCAGGGTGGGCGACTCTGTGGCTGGAACTGCTGTTTTCAGCTACTGTCAGCTGAGCCTTGCCTGGAGCCTCAAACCGCATTGAGGGCTTTCTGTGCTTTGCCTTCCAGAATCCTGGCTGTGGCCTCATGAAACAGGTGCTGTTAAAATCAGCTGCATTGGAAACAGCCGAGTCAGGCAATGAAGGCACAGAGAGGTTAGACAACTTGTGGGAAATCACACAGCACCGGTGCCTCCACATTCACACTCTACCCCTCTGCGTGCTACAATCCTGACCAGTCCCACGTTCCCCAGGACGAGCCACCAGCATCCCGGAAGGGGTTAATCCCTCTCAGGCAGCTCAGCTCCTGCCACTCTCCCGAAGTGCTTTTGCACATGGTCTGGTCTCGATGTGCCCAAGACGGCCCTGTGCTGGGGAGGAAAGCGCTTACATAATCGTCCCGAGTGTTTTCTCTCTCAGGCGGCGCGCACACCCCACTTGGGTTGCAACACAGGCAAGCAGATGCCAGGAAATTCTGAGGCTGCTGCTGAGCCTGGGCTGGGTGAGCTCAGACACGAGACCCCCTCACCTGTGTGGGCCCTTGGCTTCCTCTGTGCCCCTCCCGAGCGGGGTCCCTGGCGCAGACTCTTGTTCAGGCCATGCAAGGTAGGTGCGTGGTCAGGAGCCCACGGCTCAGGACAGAAGTCATTTGGGGAACCAGTGGGACCTTCAGCGGCTTGGAGGAGGCTGAGTGGGAAGCACGTTCCCGCCTGGGCTGAGCACTTCACAGAAGGGACTGGGCCGAGGGGAGAGCTGCCTGCCCTGGAGACCCCTCCCTGCCTTCCTGTGCTGGCACAGCCATGCCCGGCCTTGGCTGGGCAGCTTGAACTGAGGTTTCCTTGTGACCCCTCCCCAGAGTGTCTCCCGGGGGCACAGGCCCTAGCGGCATGCAAGTCACCCGGGGGGTTTTTAACAGAGACCAGCAACCGTCCCACAGAGGACTGGGGAGCCGGCCTGTGGCTGGTGTGGGGGAAGCAGGCACTACCCAGCCATGCCGGGTGGACAGAGGCATTTTCCACAGCTCGGGAAACAGAGCCGGGCCAGGAAGGTTGGAGTTCAGCCCTTGGGTGAGAGCCACGGGGCCCTGGCTGAGCCTCACCTGCTCTCAGAGCCCATTTCCTTTTCTGTCAAATTCACGATGGGATCTGGCCCCTGACTCCACCCCAGCAGCACCAAACACACCCGCTGCGGCAGGGCCCGGAGAGGGGCGGCAGGGCCCGGAGAGGGGCGGCAGCGCGGGTTGTGTACCTGGGGCTGGGGGATGAGTGTTGGGGTCTGCCAGCGCTGACAGTGGGGTGAGGACCACGCCCCCTGGATTCCCTCCACCACCAGACCCTCTTGCCTGGCGGGGCAGCCGGGAGACTGAGCATTCTCCCTGTCCTGAGGCTCTTCCTGAAACGGCCCCCAGGATCCTATGAGCAGGAGCCACACAAGGCCCAGATCAGCCTCGATCTCGTCTCGAACACCCTGACTTCTTACACGGGAAGGTGCTGGGTGCGGAGCTGTCACTGCGGGCGAAGGACCCAGAGGAGAGGAGTGAGCCGAGGCTGCCTGCCCACGGCCAGGGGATCTGAGTTGGGACACGTTTCCCTTTTGGTGGCCCTCAGACCCTGCCAGCTGCCGCGTCGGACCCACAGCCTGGTGGCCAGGAGCCCATCTGAACGCCCGGAGTTGGGAGCTGGGCTCAGGTGGTGGAAACTGCGCTTCCCTCCCGTCCAGGCCGCCTGTCATGGGAAATGGGCCACCAGAGCCCCTGCCCGGCAGTTGGTTGCCCCCCAGGGCTGCTCCAGCCAAACTTCTCCTAGAGGTCATGCCCTCCACCACATGCTCCCACCCCACTGGGGCCAGCCCTGCTGGAGGAGGGGGTGCCCCCACAGAGTCTGCCCCCGCCGCTGCTGGTGAGGCCCTCCGGGTGTGACCACACAGGGCCCGGGCTCCCGGCCAGGCCGAGTGGGCGCAGGGCACGACTTCTCTGTGGAGTCCCAGGCTCTCCGCCTCCAGGGCCCAGGCATGCCTGAGTGAGGGCCTCATACTGGGGGTGGGGGAGGGGTCTAGGAGGCGGTTGAGGAATCCCCCAGGGCGCCCCAGGCCAGGCTGATCATAGCAGAGCAGCCTTAGCATAGCTTCCAGCTTCCCCTGGCCTTTGCCCCTTTGCCGCAGGTCTGCAATGGGGCTTTTCAAAGCTGATCTCAGCGCAGTGGGCGTAGCTGATTCCAGGCCCCGGGCTGCTGACCCAGGGAGGAAAGCCTGCATCTGCTCGTTGCTGGAGTTTAGCACAAGCACTGCAGATGGCAATCCTGTGCCCTCGTGAATAAAGTGTGTTTCATCCCAGTGCTTGTCTCTCCAGCCAGGGCCAGGCTCCTAGAGGGGCTCACAGGGCTCCCTAGCTGGACTCCCTTCCCCAGCCCCTTCCTCTTCCCTGGCTCCCGGCAGAGCGGGGCTGTCATTTCACCAAGCAGCCATGGGGGTGGGGGCCAGAGCCTTGTGGGCTAATGGGGGTGGGGGGAGTGAGATGGGTCCCTGCCCGTGGGGGAATGTGGGGGCCTGGCGGTTCTGGAACAGGAGGGTTTCTGCCCCCATGCAGGAAACACAAATCAATGTCCGAATGTTTGGGGTTGTTGCAACTGGGGAGGGGGTGATACTGGCAATTTGGGGGTGCAAGTCAGAGGGAGGAGGGAGGGAGGAAGGAGGAGAAGAAGGTGCCCAAGCCCCCATTCCCCAGGAGAGGTGGTGCCCAGGACTATGGTGCCCTTTGCAGGGCTGGCCTCCCATCTCCATGGCATCGCTCTCTTTCCTTCTCGGGGACTTGGGGTGACCATGAGCCATACTGTCGAAGTACTTACTGTGGAAGGTGGAAGAGCTGAGGAAGGCACCCGACAGGATCCCCTGGGACACCCTGGCCCATGCAGTACCATTCGAATGCATGAGATCGCAGGCCCTGTGACGGTGCCTGGGGCATGAGGGGCCTGCCCATCCTGCAGGGTGCTGCTCAGATGCGTCGGCCCTGGGAGGCCCCTCCTCGCCAACCTGGTTCACTCTTGCAGGCCCACCCCAGCCTGTGCCTTCTGCTGGGGCAGGGTCTCGGGCAGCAGTGGACGGTGGCCAGGAGGGCGCCGCTCAGGTTGGGAGAGGCCCGTGGGGGGGAGCTGCACCGCGGTCCACACAGCCAGCTCTTTGGGTTGTGTTTCCTGCACACAGGGACATTCGCAAGCCCTCAGCACCGTCAGAATCGGGGAATGGACAGGTCCATGCGAGGCCGCACTGCAGCCTGGCCATTGTCCCCACGAGGTTCTGAGAGGGGAATCTGCGGGCATCACGCCCTGCCCCAAGCCTCCCTCTCTCCTCCATCTCTGTCAGCCTGTTCTGGCTCCTGGCCCCTCCACGCTGTGGGCACTCGGGCTGCTTTGCAGGATACCCTCGGCTGGATCTGCCTCTCGATTCCTGGTGATGAGATCCTGGGTGGGCAGGGACAGCAGGGGGTGAGGCTGCGCTCCGCGGGTGTCCTGGCGGGGGGTGTAGAATCTCACCTGGGCCGTCTCTGGTGACATGAATGCCGGCGGTTTTATTGATGCTGCGTCTGCAGGCTCCCCTGCAACGTTGTCCTCTCTCTCTATGATGATTAATCCATGTTCTGTGGGGCGTCCTTTAAAGCCGTGGGAACGTCCATGCGCCGCCAGGCTTCCAGCTGCTTGTCTGAGCCTGAGCTGTAGGGCTGCTTGTGCCCCAGGCCATCTCCTGGCACCCTCGGCTCCCACCCCCCACGCCCCCCATCGAGCAGGCTCCTGAGTGCTCGGGCACGGCCTCGTAGCCCCGGAGGGTCGCGATCTCCTATAAGCCTCTGGTGTTTTCCCTTCCCAGACTGGAGCTGGCCATTTCTCCCAGGAGTCCTGGCCGCTTTGAATGGAACACGGTACCGAGAAGCCGAGGTCTGGGTGCTGGGGATGCTCACACCCACGGAGGCTGGGGTGTCAAGGGGCTTCCAACTGCAGCCTCTCGTGGGATGGTAGAGCAGCCTGGGCAGGGGCGGAGCTGAGAACAGAATTTCACACCCGAGGTTCTGGGACTGGAGCTCCAGAGGAGCCACTGCCCAGGGGCATTTAGAGTGTCCTTTATGAAAACAAACAGTTGAAAACCCCAGATGTCTAACAATGAGCGAATGATTTGGCGAGCTGTGCTCGGGGTCTGCCACGAATTCTTGGCTCCTGGACGGTGGACTGGGGGTGGAGGACACCAGCAGGAACTCTTAGAGGGAAGCTGGGGGAGGTGGGGGAGAAAGAGCTTTGGAAAAACAGCTTCGACTTCCCTCTTGGGTGGAGGAGCCAAGGGGAGGGCACGCAGCCAGGGACCACGGGCGGCAACGCTCCCTCCTTCCCGGCGTCCACGGGCGGCAACGCTCCCTCCTTCTCAGGGTCCACGAGCGGCAATGCTCCCTCCTTCCTGGTGTCCGTGGGCAGTCGGTGCTCCCTGCTTTCCAGGTTTCCAGGGGAAGTCCCACCCCCTGAATCCTGACTAGGATGCCAGGGAGTTGGGGAAGAGGTGGGACCCTCGAGGACAGGCCGTAGCCCTCATACCCAGCCACCCGTAAGGGAGTGCAGCTGCTCCACACAGCGGAATTCTCTCTGTACAGAGAGCTCAGCCCTAACGCCTCCAGACACCCCTTCTTGCCGATGCCCTTTTCTAGCCTGACTTTGATGGTTCCTAGAGCCTGGGGGTAAAGCGTTCCCTGGCTCACTTCCTGTAACATCAACTGGAACTTTTCATTATGGTCTAAAAATAAGCCCAGCACTTTGGGAGGCCAAGGCAGGAGGATCGTTTGAGCTCAGAAGTTTGAGCTCTTCTTTGTAAGAAGTTTGTGCCCTCCTTACAAAGCTTGCTAGCTTGATCATTCAGCTTGTTGGGCCACTTTCCACATTACTGCAGGCCATGGTCTTGCTGATAGAATAAGAGTGCCTATTTCTGGTGGGGTTTGACTGAGCATTCTTGCCTGAAGTCTCCTGAAGCTGTAGTCTTGCATCAGCTGGAGTTGCAGTCTCATTTGAAGGCCTGACTGGGGCTGGAGAAGCCACTTCCCAGGTCACTCCATCACACACTGGCCAGTGGTGCTGCTGGCCAGAACTCAGTTGATTTGCTGGGCCACATAGCAAATCTTCACCTCTACTAAAAAAAAAAAAAAAAAATCTGCTGGTTGTGGTGGCTCATGCCTGGAGTCCTTGGAAGGCTAAGGCAGGAGGATCACTTGAGCCCAGGAGGTGGACACTGCAGTAAGCTACGATAGCACCATTGCACTCCAGTCTGGTGGACAGAGCAGACTCTTTCTCCATCATCATCATCATCATCATCGTCAGCTCTCAAGCATCAATCAGACCTTATTCTATAATGATGATGGTCACACAACTCTGAATAGACTAAAGACTAGTGAATTGTGCACTTCACATAGGTGAAATGTATAGTATGTTAATTATATCCAAGAAAGCTGTTTATTTTTAAAGGGATTTATCATTCTAGTAACAAAAATAAATGATAATCGTGTGACTCTTTGGCAATTTCCTGTTTTTGTTTTTTTTTTTTCTGTTTGCTCCTTTGATCATCCAGCACACGGGTGGGAGGAAGGCTGAGTTTCGCTATCATCTCTGCCTTGCCGATGGATGAAGCCCAAACCCCAGGTGGGAAGTGCTGGGGTGGAGACTTCAATCCAGGGACTCTGGCCCGGGGCCTGTCCCATGTGTCATGTCAGCCGGCCTTTCATCATCTTAGCCTGATCAGTCCTGTCTAATCTGGTCATCCTCGGGTTGAGTCATTGGAATCCCTTTGGCCCTGTCACTGAATCCCCCTCTGGGACAGTGCTGGGACAGCTCTGTGGCCTCCAAGATGAACCCACTGACCCATACCTCCTGGGGTTTATCATCTTCCTACATTGACTCAGGGCTGATGCATGTGACCCGTGGAACATGGCAGAGCTGACAGTGTGTGACTTCTGTGACTGAGCTGTACAAGGTACCACAGCTTCTGTCTTGGTCTCTCAGGTCATCCACTCTGAGGGGAGCCAGCCACCATGCTGTATATTCAGGTGGCCTCATGGCAGGGTCCATTTGGAGAGAACTGAGTTCTGGCCAGCAGCAGTGTGTGATGGAGTGACCTGGGAAGTGGCTCCTCCAGCCCCAGTCAGGCCTTCAAATGAGACTGCAACTCCAGCTGATGCAAGACTACAGCTTCAGGAGACTTCAGGCAAGAATGCTCAGTCAAACCCCACCAGAAATAGGCACTCTTATTCTATCAGCAAGACCATGGCCTGCAGTAATGTGGAAAGTGGCTCAACAAGCTGAATGATCAAGCTAGCAAGCTTTGTAAGGACGGCACTGAGGGTAGCATATCTTGCACTTTATTTTATTCTATTTATTCATTTTTTAAAAACAGTAATATTATAAAATAGAGATGGGGTTTTGCCATGTTGCCCAGGCTGGTCCCAAACTTCTGGGTTCAAGCAATCCACCTGCCTCAGCCTCCCAAACTGTTGGGATTACAGGCATAAGCCACTACACCTGGCCTCTTGCTACTTTTAAATAAAGTAAGAGAGGGAAGAGATAAACTAAAGGAAGGGCTGTTAAATATAAAAGAGATGCTTTCTGTCTGAAAACAATACTTTTTCTCATTCCCAGCCCCTCAAGGTGGCACACAATGTTGAGAATAGGAAACCTGGGGATGCAGGTCATTTAGGGAACAGGACGGGTGATGGTGGCAAGCCTCCCAGATGGCCCCAGTGACCCCCCAACTCCCGTATTTGTCTATGTGTGCTCCCCTCCCACACAGCAGGGCTGGTCTATGTGGTCAGCATAGAGTACGGTGGTGGTCAACGTGTGACTTCCCCTTGAGGCTGGATTATAATGGCATTGCAGCCTCCACTTAGCCTGTTGGCTCACTCACTCTAGAAGAAGCCAGACACCATGTGGTGAGGACACTCAGGCAGGCCCCAGAGAGTAACTGGGGCCCTCAGCCAACAGCCAGTGCCAGCCCACCTGCCTCGTGAGGGAGCCACCAGCCCCAGTCGAGCCTTCAGGTGATGCAGCCCTGGCTGACATAAAACCACATGAGAGACCCTGAGGAAAACCACCCTGCTGAGCACTTCCCACCTTCTTGGCTAATAGTCTGTGAGAGATAAAAAGTGATTTTTTGCTCTCTAAGCCATTAAGTTTTGGAGTGTGTAGCAGCACAGCAACAGATATAAAATATAGCAGCATATAAAAGACCTGCATGGAATTCCTGTGGAAGTGGGGATGCACCATGAATTTGGACCAGGGACAGACAACATCATCTGTTTTTCCTCCCTGAAACCCTTCTTAATGATCCTGGGGCCAGGGCACTTCCATCAGAATCAATGACCTGCTTTGGGTTTTAATTCTAACCAGCACTGGAATACCCCCTCCAACATGCAAGGTATCAGAAAGACTTGCTTTTGGTTACTTAAACACACCAGGCCATCTGACACCCTCACTAATGACAACCACTTTGCAATCTCACTGATTCTCACTTGGACAGCCAGTGTTTGACTGGTGACTCTTCTAAAAGGTTGGGCGTGCTGTTACCCAGGGGTGTGCTCTGTGTCTGCCCGTGGAGGAAATGCTTTGTCCGAAATCCTAATCAGAGTCCTAGTGCCAACCAGGGTGTCAGCCTTGGTGGAGCCCTGGAGACACCTGGGAGCTCTGAACATGTGGCTGCCCACCCCACCCCACCCTGGGAGCCGCTGGGAGCTGGAGGAGGCAGGAAGGGGCCTCCCTGGGGCCCTCAGAGGGTGCACAGCCCTGGAACAACTGGATCTAAGACTTGGCCTCCAGTGAGGGAGAGGGCGAATTTCTGTCACATGGACCCCCCAGTTTGTGGCACTTTGCTGTGGCAGCCCCAGTCCCCGGATGTAAAGTGGAGCTGGCGTTGGCCCCACAGCCCTTTCTTCCTGCTTCATGGCCCCCAGGAGAGACACCCTGAGCTCCCGCTCTCCCACACACACTCCAGGCTGAAAACACAGGGTTTTTACGCCCAGACCTGCTGTTTCTTTCAGTTGTAACTTTTATCTTATGAAAACATTTCTGACCTACTCGAAAGTAGAAGGCCAGGACTCATCACTTCTTTCTCCTCTTTCCACCCAAGGATAGAGAGAATAAAAGCCAGTCACATGGTCCCTGCAGGAGGACGCCATGTGGTCACTGCTGTCACCAAGAGACTGCGCAGGCTCCAGCCGTGCATGGGCGCCCCGAGTGTTAACCGGGCTCAGCCACAACCTCACTTGATGGCAACACACAGAGGCATCTGCCTGTTAAGCAGGTGGTCCCCCAGGGTCCCCTGAGTGCGCAGCCAGGGAACCAGATGCCCACATTTCCTCACCCTCCTCCCATCTTCCCTCCCTCATCTTCCTCCACGTACTTGAGTACTTGCTCTGAAATCCAACCTTTAGTGACGATAAAGGAATGAAAAAGAATTCCCTCCACTTAAAGTGGACAGCAAAGCCCTCAATTCCTCTAGGACCCTCCGTCCTTGGTTTAAGTTTGTAAGAAACTTCTAGGAAATGTTGCTTCTATCTTACATCAAGGCTTCTGCACAAATGACAGATGTCTACAGGATGTCCACAGGATGACGGGGGACTCTCCCTGCTGCCCAAAGACACCCTGGCTTTCCTGAGGGTGATGCACCTGCCCAGCTCCCTGCTGCCCAAAGATGCCCTGGCTTTCCCAAGGGTGATGGGACCCGCCCAGCTCCCTGCTGCCCAGACCCCCTGGCTTTCCTGAGAG